TGAGACCACATTAAAATCACGTTGGTGGGAAGAAAGAACACAAGCTTTTACATAAAAGGAAATATCTGCATGAATTCTAGGTCAATAATACAATGTAACATTTGATATTTACTATGTTTATCTCCTTTGTACAGACAGTCAGATGTTCCTGCTTGCATTAAAACACAAGATCATTCTCAAATCATGCTGGAGAATGTATCATTAGGTTTCACAAACACTTGTGGAGTTCATGTCCTCTTACTTTTAAATCCTCCAAATCAGCAGACGGTCAAATGTGTGTCTTGTTTAAAGGGGGTTGAAACTTAATACATGTAATTTTGAGTGATCTCATTTCCTGTCAGTATATCTTGATATGTGACTTCTTAAACTGCATGTATTACAAGTACATCACATTTCACTTGGACCCTGCAAAAGATCAGATTGAGACATTTAATCTGAGGCCAATCCATTAAGAGGAACTCCTGGAGCTTTATATTACACATGGAAGTATAAGAGATATCGCACAAATATGTTTTACTTGTAAGAGAAAACAGAGACTTATGCCCCAAGATGATCCCACATGCTGTAAACTGTCCAAATATTAAAGCTGTAAATAAAAGACAAAGGTTATGTAGTTAAATGCTGTTGCTATAATTGAAAACATGCAACCAGGAATCAACTCCAGTGTAGTGACAGAATTAATTTACTATAATAATCAAACTTGCAGGTAGTAGTACTGTATAATATGTCTGCTTCATGCATGACTATTTTCAAACAAATGTATTCACTTGACTGTCATATTTCAACTGCCTAATCTATTGACTCAAGCCTTTCTAGGGACCTTTTTGGCAGAAATAGACACATTTGCTTGTGTGTGTATGCTTTGGAAAAGGGAGAAATGAACCATGCACTCATTACGACTTACCTTTACATTCATTTCTTTACAAGATGCTTCTTTCCAAAGCAGCTTCCAAATCATCCATTTAGTATGGTCATGGTTGTGATACACACCTCTGCAATCAACAGGGAACCCAGTTTGAAAACCCAGACAAAGAAATGTTTCTTTAAATGTATTATTGGCAGTTAATTTAATTAAAAAGCATCAAAGCAACCAAACAGTAACTCTAAAATGTATCCGCAATCACCCACAACAGCCTTGTACTTTCACACAGGCAAGTACAACTCACATTTTCTTAAGAGATTCAAATCTACTTTAAAATGTTAAAGGGGTGGTTCATTGGTTTTTTT